ATTCCAATTAAAATGTAAAAAGAAGGACTGAAATTCCAAATCACCGCTAGGCACACGCCACCACGATAATCATTGCCAGCAAGTCCCACCGATGGATGCTCCGTTCAGAGGGCAAAAGTCTGGAGAGCAACAGGAGAGTCGCACAGTTTTAAAGTACCTCCTCCGAGATACTTATTCATTACGCAGGGAAACTATACCTTTACAATGGAAACCCCCAGCAGACACCCCCTAGCCTGGTGATCAAGGTCAGCCTCCCCTGTAATCAGGCTCGTGGACACTACATACCCCCTGACCTGCCTGATGCACTGAGCAGGACCATGATTGTGGCTGTGGAGCTCCTGCCAACATGAGTAACCCATGAAACAATGTCAGACAAGCCCCCTTGGAGGGACAGTCTCCAGGGCTCACCCTTCCAAGGCGTCACGGCCACGACGGATGGGTGGACTGGGGACAGCCTCAGTGTGGAGGTGAGTGGGGACCCAGCAACCCGGGGGAGTGTGGGAGCCTGGCGTGGATCCTGGAACAGGAAGAGGACGTCAGTGGGACACTTATTAAACACGGGAGGTACCTGGCCTGGTGTGTGTTTATGGGAATGGACTGGCAGAGGCGGGGCAGTTGATAAGGAGGAGAGAGGGGAGGGCCGCAGGAGGGAGTCCACAGGAAGGGGAGCCGGGTGGGACCAGTGGCTGCCTGTCCTGCCTTTGTGGAGCTGGTTGCATTTTGGGGTGGGGGTTAATTTACACACGGAAAGACGGAGCGCTCCGTGATGCTGTTGGGTGGGCACTGACAGACGTGCACACCACACACCATCATTCAAACCAAGCTGAGGGCTTCCATCCCTGGAGACTTTCCTTGGGCCCCTGACCCCAGTACCTCCCCAGGACCAAGCTTGGACCAGGGCAAGTGGAACCCCGTGCCTCAGGCGTAGGCTGATGGGTTCAGCAAATAAAAATGGTTTGGGAACCCTCCCGGGGGCCCCACACCTTGAAGTGCCTTCCTCTGAATTGTCCAAGTACTTCTCATGCTTGGGAATGGCCGATCCCCATCTTTCCTTTTTGGGGTACTTCGTGATCCTCTATACTCTACCTCCTGGGATTGACCAGTGCATCCCTCACTCATGGGCTGCAGCCCTGTGTGTGTGTGTGTGTGTGTGTGTGTGTGTGTGTGTCTGCATGCCCAACTTCTGCTTGCCCTTCCATGTTCCACTGCTCAGGTAAAGCACCCAAGGGCAGCAAGATGGTGGGGGGCCTTCTTTGCCCTGTGTGCCCCCCCTGGCTGTCAGCAGGCAGTCCTGGGAGTGGCCACACCCATCTCCCCTGAGGGCCGTGAGACCCTTGCTCCCATACCTTTATCCTTTCTGGTCTCCAATCCAGGCAATTATGTCAGGCTCACCCTGTGGGAAAAGTCATGGACCTTCCTTGTGCAAATGGGCCATCTCTTCTGGCTCCACCCTGGCCCCTCTCCTGGCCTCCCACTGGTGGCTGTGTGGAGGGCATGGGTGTGGCAACATTGAGAGAGTTCTGGGAGTGTAGCGATCACAGCTGGCGAGGCCGGTTGGAGACAAGACTGGAAGGCACCTTGTCCTACATGAAATTTCCAACAGTAAATCCAGTATGGCCAGAAAAGGAACTGTCGTTCATATTTGCATTTGCGGTCACCATTAACCACACGTTTGAAAGCCATTGGAAACCGCTATTCACGGCAGCAAGATGGGTGGTACAGCAACCCAAGTGCTGGGGGAACCAGCATGAAATAAGTGGTCTTAGGGAACTGGGCAGCAGGAAGACCTAGATTGTTTCCATGAAAACGGGTTCCCAAGGGCCACTGCACTGTGAGTAATGAGGGCACTGATCCCATTCACGGGGGCTCCACCCTCATGACCTCATCACCCCAAAGGCCCCACCTCCTAACACCATCACATCAGGCATTAAGATGTCAGCGTATGGGACTTGACTGGTGGCGCAGTGGTTAAGAATCAGCCTGCCAATACAGGGGACACAGGTTTGATCCCTGGTCTGGGAAGATCCCACAGGCCGCAGAGCAACTAAGTCCATGTGCCAGAGCTACTGAGCCTGCACTCTAGAGCCTGCAAGCCACGACTACTGAGCCCACATGCCACCACTATTGAAGCCCACGCACCTAGAGCCCATGCACCTAGAGCCTGTGCTCCGCAACAAGAGAAGCCTGTGCACCGCAATGAAGAGTAGCCCCCGCTCGCCGCAACTAGAGAAAGCCCGTGCACATCAACAAAGACCCAACGCAGCCAAAAATAAATAAATAATTTTTAAGAAGAAAGATGTCAACATATGAATTGTGGGGAGACAGTCTGTAGCAGAAGGCTTAGACGAGATAACCAGTGTCTCACCCATACAGGGAGGGCAAGAGGAATGCCCACTTGCTAGAGTCGCGAAAATTACATGTAGAAGAAACTACATATGTTCATCTGTGTCTTGCTTAGAACAGGGCTTGGCACATAATAAGCTCTTAATAAATGTTAGCTCATTAGATATAGACTAAGAAATATGTGTGTTGTATATATTGCTATATGTAAAATTGAAAACTGGAGAAAACTATATTAAATCACGGAAAAAATAATCACTGAGCTCCCACTGTGTGCCAGCGCTGAGGATACAAAGCTGGTCAGTGGTACAAGCTTTTGGATCGTATTGCAGTTCTAAGCCTGTTCTTAATCTACATGTGTTGAGGGAAGGGAAGTATAGGTCATAGGAAGTTGTCAAGAGGTGCCGCAGACCTGCAGCGATGGATTCCCCTATGGACAGACGGTCCTGCCTCTTTCTCTGACCTTCTCTTACTGAGTGTCCGGCTGGGGAGCCAGGTGGGGGGATGCCCATGTAACCAGAGGTAACCTGCAGTGGGGGAGGGTGGTGATGCGGAGCTCAGATGTCATTTGATTGAGACTGTGCAGCCGTCTGGAACGCATTCTCACGCAAGGGCTGCAAGTCTGGTCTACGTCTGTTGTGAAGCGTGTCATGCCCATATGATTTGTGTCTGAGTCAGCCACCTGAGCCCTCGGGACTTCCCATGTCCGTGCGCCAGCTGCCTGTCCCCTCTAATTGCAGAGCCAGCGGGCATCCACGGATGTCCCTCCCAGACCCCACTGGGGCAGCGAGGTTTGCTCTCAGTGCCGCAGCAGGTGTCCGCCAGGAGTGCTGTGCTGGGATTCGGCACTGCACACTGGGCCAGATGCCCTGCTCTTTGCTTCTGGTCCAGAACAAACAGCCTGTGCCCGTTGAATCCTGCTCCCCAGCCCTTTCTATTTTTATCTTTTAACCTGAAAATGTAAGTTGGCCCGTCTGTTGCAGCACACGCCAAGCTTGATTTCTCATTGTCCCGACCACATGTGTAGTCCACTCCCACGTCAGGAGACAGGGCGCCAGCAGCAGGAGAAGCCCCTCTCCCCTCGAGTCTTCTTGGGCTCACTCCCCTCCACTCCCCTGTAACCACAACCCTGATTTCTGACATCATATATTGTTTTGTCTTTTTTGAACTTGACATGCATGGAATCCTTTATTATGTTCTCCATTGTGTCTGGCTTCTTCATTTTGCATCACGGCGTGCGATTCATCACGTTGTTGGGAGGATGCCTTGCCTCACAGCTGTGCTGGCTGGAGCATTGGGCCACTGCATCTGAGCCGCTGCGACTGTCCTTGTGTGTGCCCTGCCTGATGCCTGCCTGTGCATGTCCTTCCTGGTGTGAGTGTGGTCGCAGCACAACTGGAGGACTGATTGGATGGATGGAGACCCGGGATTACATTTTCAGGTTTAAAGGTTTGGGAACTCCTATTTAGTTCCTAGGTTTTACCTAATGTTGGGCAGGTCTGGCTTGTACCCTGGCAGGCACAGGGCACACCTATCCGTGGGACCACAGCAGCCTGGGGCAATCAGCTGTGAGCGGTCACTCTTGGTTTTGAAAATGGTTTCCCCTCTGAGATCTTCAGATTTGGTGGAGAGCAAGCCTGAGGACTCTGAGGGCTGTTTCCATGGAGATGGGAAGAAAATGACATCCTGAGTGCTGACCTGCTGACTTGCTGACCACCACGGGAGGTGCTCTCATGGGCCATTTTGCTGAATTTTCACAGCAGTTACTGTTATCACCCTTTCTGGGTCAGGAGCCTGAGACTTGGGACGTGGCCAGGGTTACACGGCTGCCAGCGCCAGAGCCAGGGGTTGCACTGGTTTTTCTGGCTTCAAAGTCCAGCCTCTCCCATGTGCAGGTTGTTGTCTCCTTGAAACAAGACACAGTTTTCTTCATCTTTATGTCCCTGAGCCTCATCTTCCCCCCATGCAGGAGGCACCCAGAGTTATGTGGGAGGATTCTGGGAAGACGGCAGAGTAGGAAGCGGCAGAATCTGTCTCCCCACCTGGACCATTGCACTGGCAGCATCTGAATGGTGGAACTGTTCTCGCAATCTGGAGTCTGTTGAAGCCTTGCAACTTCAAGGGGGAAGGGCTGGGTTGTAAATTGCGGTTAATTTTGGTAAAAGTCAGCTCTTGCACAGTAGTGGCTACTCAGCCCCCATCACCAGCCCAGGGCAGGCAGCTGCGCCCTCGCAGCCACCTGCATAGATTGTGAGAGTTAGGGTGGGAAACAGGACTCTGCCCCCAAATACAGGGGACTGTGATCTGACGGCAGGCTGCTGCTTCCGAACCCAGAGGGGCCCACGGGCGCGGGGGTAGCCATAGATGTACCTCCCCCATCGCTACCAGGCCCTCCCCCTCAGGCCGACGTGACCGCCAGAGCACTTAAAGGGCTCGCATCTTTTTTTTTTATCCTTTGTTTTTTGCTTTTTCCTCTTTTGGAGCCAGACATTAAAGATTAGAACATCCAAAAACAACTGCATATATGGGGAAAACTAGAAAGTGACTGTATATACCCAGGGAAAGGCTCAGAAAAGACCTGAGAAGACTAAATTTACACCTCAGGCACAGCATAGAGACAGCCTACGGCAATTACACACACACACACACACACAGAGTGCGTGCTTCGACAGCACAGATACTAACATTGGAATGGTACAGAGAAGATCAGCATGGCCCCTGAGCAAGGATGACATGCAATTCGTGAAGCATTCTATATTTTTAGAGGGGATATATGTATACGTGTGGTATAGCATAAAGTAACACAACATTGTAAAGAAACTATACTCCAAAAAAAAACCCAACAATAAACAAATCAACAACAAAAACCCAGCAAACACAGGGAAAGAGGGAAGAATCTGATTTTCAGAGCTACCACGTTATTAGATCCAAATGTCCAGTTTTCAACAAAAAATTACAAGGCATTCAAAGAAACAGGGACACAGGGTCCATTCAAAGGAAAAAAAAAAATCAACAGGAACTGTCTCTGAGAGACCTGAGGGCAGATCTACTAAACAAAGACTTTAAAGCAACTGCCTTAAAGATGGCTCAAAGGACTAGAGGAGGATGTGGAGAGAGGCAAGAAAATGATATGCAAACAAAATGGAAATATCAATAAATAGACCTAAATCGAGACCAATAAAGAAAACCTAAAAAGAAGCCAAAAATAAATCCTGGAGCTTACAACTGAAATGAAAAGTTCACTAGATGAATTCAAAGGCAGATTTGAGCAGAAGAAAGAAGCAGTGCTATTGTAGGTAAGACAGTTGAAATTATCAAGTCTGAGGAAGAGGAAAAAAAAAAAGATTGAAGAAAAGTGAACAGAGCCTGAGGGCCCTGTGAGACACAATGTATAAAGATGTAATTTTTTGTGAAATTGACAAGGAAAAGGAGTGGGGATGGAGCTGTAAGGGAGCAGAATTTTTGTATGTTATTGAAGTTAAGCTGCTACAAATTCAAATTAGAGTGTTACAACTTTAGGATGCTAAGTGTAATCCTCATGGTAATCACAAAGAAAATAGCTATAGGATATACACCAAGGGGATGAGAAAGGAATTTAAACATTTCATGACAAGAAATCAACTAAACACGAAAGACGACAGTAATGCAGGAGATCAGGGACAAAAAAGCTATAGGGCATATAGAAAACAAGTAGCAAAATGACAGAAGTAAGTACCTCCTTATCAATAATTGCTTTTTTTTTTTTTTTGGTACGCGGGCCTCTCACTGCTGTGGCCTCTCCCGTTGTGGAGCACAGGCTCCGGACGCGCAGGCTCAGCGGCCATGGCTCACGGGCCCAGCCTCTCCGCGGCATGTTGGATCTTCCCGGACCGGGGCACGAACCCGTGTCCCCTGCATCGGCAGGCGGACTCTCAACTGCTGCGCCACCAGGGAAGCCCTTGTGTTCATCTTAAACGTCTCTTGCCTGATCTCTGCCTCAGTCCTCTGTGGCTTCCCCACTTCGCCCATGTACCAGTCTTAAAGCACGCTGAGAGAAAAACTAAATAGCCTGGATGGTGATGGTCTAACAGCGGACATCTCAACAGCAACGTATATGGCGAGAACGCAGCAGAACAAAGTGCTGGGAGAAGGAAGTAACTGCCAACCTAGGGCTGTAGGTCCTGGGCTAAATCATCCTTCACAAGCCTGCAGGAAACAAAGACATTTTCAAACAAGAGAAAACAAAGGGAGTTTACCATGAAAGGAGCTGGACAGCCAGATACAGAAGTGAGCAGAGGATTTGGTAAACAGACACAAGTATGGACTTTGAAAAATAAGGATAATGGTCAAAGTCTACTGTGGGCTGTTAAAGCACACAGGTAGACCCCAAAACACTGGGCAAAAATGACACACAAACGAAAGGGGCAATCGGAGTGAAAGATCCTGAGATGTTTGCCTTTTGCAGGAGGGTAGAGTTAGTCACTTTAGATTTCGTTAATCTGAGTGTACAGTTAAAAACATAATGGCGCCGCTGAAAGACTAGACATAGAGTAAGTACGTAACTCTTAAAGAGGAGAGAGAAAAAATGGAATAAAAAAAATCTTAATCCAGAAAATGAGGAACAACATATCTGCAAGCAGGTGTCGGGAAGGGGTGAGTCAGGGTGAGGGGGTTATTGCCTGGGAAGCTCTGTGGGCACCTCGGAATGTTCTGTTCTAGGTTAATCTTAGGACCAAGTGATGGGGGAGGTCGGGTCAAGAGGAGGGATGGAGGTTGCAGCAGAGAATGGGCTGGAATTGGAGTTCTTCCCCCTTGCTTCCTTCAGTGACAAACTGTGATGAATCTATGCTTTTTCTTCTCAACTAGATTGAGTCTTGAGAGCAGAGACCACGACTTATTAAAAATATATATATTCATTAACCATTTGAAAGAGTACAATTCAGTGACATGTAGTGCATTCACAGTGCTGAGCAGTCGCCACCTCCTCTAGTTCCAAATATTTCATCACCCAAAAGAGACCCTCACACCCCCTAAGCAGTCACTCCCCGTCCCCAGACCCCCAGCCCCTGGCAACCACCAGGCTGCTTTCAGTCTCTACGTAAAAGGAAACTTCTGTTTTCAACTCACTACTCTTCGCTCTGACACCGAATGTGTGGGTTTATTCCCCACTCCAGCCGGTTCTCCAACCCTGACACCTGCTGTCCTGTAATTCAACTGTCCTGATGCCAGGTATCCGGAGTTAGTGCAGATCTCATAGGCTGAGGGCTCGGCCCCACGAGACGGCCCCCACTGTGGATGCGGACCCCGAGGAGTGGGTCCCCAGGTCCCGCAAGCTTGTCTGGCTTGGCTACAAATCAGGGGGTCCCGCAACCCCCTTTTCGGTTTGATAATTTGCAAGGACAGTTCACAGGACTCAGGGAAACGCTTTACTTACATTCGCCTATTTATCGTAAGGGATGCAGATGGACGGCCAGGGGACGAGGTAGCCCGGGCAAGGTCCAGAGGGGTCCTGAGCCCAGTACTTCCGTCCCCATGGGGCTGAGGCACATCACCTTCTGGTGTGTGGAGGGGTTCAACCTGGAACTCTTTGAACTCCTTCAGTGGGGTTTCATGAACTCTTATTTAACCCTCACGACCAGATGAATGTCGTGCTGACCCCTCCTTTAAAGCAGGGCAGCTGAGGCCCCAGAGGTTAGCAATAATCCATCCTGAATTTGGACCTGGCCGCCTGGCTTCTGAGGCAAAGCCCATGGTCCCTGCTGGTCTAGCGGAAATTGCCGCCCCGTGGCCGACTGGGCATCGGAAAGCCTGTGGCTGGTGCCATGGGAGCCCATCTTCGCCACCTTCCACGCAAGCGCCCTCCTTATCACCACCCCCGAGGCCCCTCCTCACAGCGAGCCAGCGGTTTCCCAATGAAATCCCCACAGGGGCACTCGAAGAAACGCGCTTTCTGGCCCTTCCAGGTTGCACGATGATGGGATCTCTTCCTTCCAAATCCCCCTCTTGTTGAGTGCAGTCAGGTGTGATCAGAGGACTAATCCCCACTGAATTGTCAATAATGCATCAACTCAACTTTTTTTTCTTTACCCTTAAAAAGCTTCCAATCCATTAATTTCCTATTTTGCCTTCTAAATATTCTTGCTTCCAACCCTTCAATCAAAGCAGGACCAGACAAGACTTTCCTTTTCCCCCTGAGGTTTTCCATTTTCCCTGTTTTCCCAGGATTATAAAGCACTTTAGATTTTTTTCTTTGTAGATTGGAAGTTACCGCTCGAAACATCCTCCTGCTTCCCATTTTGCATTTTAATGATGGACAATTCCTTAATGGAAAAAAATACATTTCTGATGGAGGAATTGAAAAAAATGTTTTCTGTGCGAGACTTGGTGGCAGGAGGACCCTGCGTGTTCCCCGAGTCAGGTGGGAAACTGCACCTCAGCGTGGGGGGGGGGGGACAGGCTGTGCGGATGGCAGTGCAGCTGAGGAAAGTGCAGGGCAAATCGCACCGAGCAGAAATGGAAAGCCCCTCCTAATCCATTCCTAGCAGCCGAGAAAATTGAAAACCCCAGGGAAGGACAGGCAAGCGCGGCGGACGTGTGCGTGTGTGCGGGCACGTGTACGCCTGTGGGTGGGTGCACGCGCGCGCGTGTGTGTGTATGTGCACGTGGGTATTTGCAGCATCTGGACCCTTCGCAGGGGAGGGAAAGGCACATGAGGGTCGCTCTCGTGTCCTGAGAACTTTGGTTGCATTGGCTGGAAAGCTGCCTTCCCCGGGGAGCCGCAGGGGAGGCTGGGATGCCCCCCGTTTTGGCCCATTTCCTCCTGTGACAGTGTTCTCCCCAGCGAGGCTTATCCTGCTTCCCTGGCTGCCAAGGGGACCCGTCTTAAAAGCACACTCGGTCTCAAATGTGCAAAGGACTCATTTCCTTGCTTCCAGAGGACATAAATTACCCACTTCAGAGGGAGTGATTGCCGTGCAGTGGAGTCAACTTTCCAGCCCTTGGGACCTCCCCTGAGCGTGGGGAGGACCCTCCAAGCCGCAGGAAAGCCCCTGGGAGCCTTTGACAGACGACTCCCCCCCCCCCCCCCCCCCCCCGCCATCAGGATGGGCTCTTCTGCGTGAACTCACGCTTCGCTCTCCGGCAATTGCTAAAAGCCAATTAATTATCTTAAGAGCCAATTTGCCGAATGACCCATTCCCTGAATTTATGGTTTCTTTGAACCAATCCGTTGTAGTTGAGCAGTTTTCAATTTGTGTTCATATCAGCATATTCAGACAGTTCTGTCTGTGCCTCAGTGCCCTGGGGATGGAGAGATGGAGAAAGGTGCCTTTTGAGAAGGCAACGGGGAGTATGTTTTAAGCCTGTGACCTTGAATATGAAGAGTTCTGATCAACCAGCTCTTTAGTAACATGAAATAATTGTCATAAAACCAATATCTCATATTGAAGAATACATTCAAGACTACGCTCAGTGATGCATTTTTCATAAATGTTTCTTAGATGGATTTATTCTTCCATTTTTTCAATCTGAAGGTATAAAAGAGGTTGTCGGTGGCCTGTTCTGTATCCATTCTCCGTTTTTTTCCTTTAGCACAAGGTCTCCTTTTGGGGGAGCACCCTTATGCCTAGTAAACAGTCACATTTCCCTGCCTCCCTGAACGTAGGGAGGACTGGAAAAATCTAAGCAAATGTATTTGGGAGGAACCTCATAACAAAACGTCCTGCAAAGGGACTCACCTGGGAGGCATACTCTTTGCCCTTCTGCCTACCTTCTTTCTGCCTGG